CGGGGCAGCGCTGAGGGCGGGGACGGCGGAGCCGCTATTAAACATCACATGGCAGCCCGCAAAAAAGGGGCAGCGGCTCATTGAGTGGCTCAGTTGCAAGCGGTGCGGCGGCGGCCGGCGGGCACCCTGGGATTGGCTTGCTGCGTCCCCCCAGCTGCTGGATCTTACCCCCCTTTAACTCTATAAGCACCTCCTCTAAGGCCACCGGCAGGTAAGGAGCGCCTTCTTTCTAGATCTATTCGAGACGCCCACCCAGTCGCCTCGAAGTGCCACCCTGGCTTCCAGGGGTAGGGGCGATGCGCCGGTGGCTGTCCCGGTGCGCGCACCGTGCCGCGAAGTCCCCGAGATAAAGCTTTCCTTGTCGGTGAACGTGTTGCACGCTTCGGCGTGGCCGTTTGGAGGGGGAACTCCTGCGTTTCTCATGCACCATCCACGAGCTATTCTCAGTGCCTAAAATAATTAGATAGGTATGCTGGGAACACTCGAGCATCTGCTTGCAGCATCTGTTTATGTTCATAACTTTCCATGCACCAGCTGCTCCCCCCCTTCCCCGAGATATTTTATTCTGGGGAAGGGCTGGAAGTTTGCATGACAACTCCGTGTCGCAGAAGTAGCACCGCTCCATCCCTTTCCATTCTTCTCGCCTGTTGTTTCCTGTACGAGAGAGAGGTCAAAAGTATCAAGTCTTGGAGATCAGGTGCGTGTTTTTGAAAGGAGTGTCCGAAATGTTTTAGAGGGGCGTGAAATGGACCTGTAACTTCATTCATTGGCATTATGGAAACGGGGGATTTTCTTTATTTTTAACCATCCTGCCAAAAAAATAGGAAGAAAGAAAAAAAAACATTGCAGCTGGGGAGCCCGTGAAGAGACTGTATTGTTTCGACTTAGTTCATGACAGTTAAAGGAAAAAATACTGATAAGAAATGGCAGATTTATTCGCGGGGGTTCAGCGACTGCTTTGTCATCTTCCTGGGGCCAGGGCAGCCGGGGACCCGCAGGTGCCTGTGCCGGGGCCGCGCCGGTGGCCTGGGCTGAGCCAGGACCCGCATCTCTGTCCTCTCCCAGCCTGCTGCCACCTTTCCACCCCGCAGGCAGCCGGCACTTGTTTCTGTGTTTCAGCCTTACCTTTACACTTGTTTGCTTTTCCATCCTCACAGCCGGTGCATCAAGTACACCCCCTGGTGATGACTATTTCACTTGTAGTTATTTTGTCATCAGCTAGAAATACCCTGAACTCGTCTCCTTTGCAGGACAGCAGATGCAACCACTTGTCCTTCCCTTTCTCCTATTTCTTCGCACCCATTTCCTTTTCACTCTTTTTTTTTAACGTCTTCCCCCCCCACACCGCCTGATCGCAAAGGACAGATCCTTCTCCTGAAGGCAGCTCACCACTTTGCGTAACTTGAGCCAAGTCCAAATCAGCGGGGAAGCCCTGGGGAATGACTTTTAAGTAACGCGGGGTTCTGGAGGAAGGTTACGGGGGTGGCCGTGCCCAGCAGCGAGGGAGCGGGGACTGTGGGAACAGGCTTCGCTGGTGCGGGTAGCTCCTTTGTTCTGTTTATCCAGGGCAGCAGGGGAAGGCGCTTGGCTAAGGTAGTGCTGGTGCTCTCTTAGCAACATGTGCCCGGCTCACTCTGCAGGGCTGAGTGGCGTCAGCCTGGGAATAACTGCTCCAAGCGCTCGTTAGTGCTCCTCTTGCCACCCCCCTGCTCTTTTTGCATTTCAGAGTTTTTACTCAGTATTAAACCTTCTGCACCAGTTCCCTTCGAGCTGTTCGTTGTGGAGTTCAGACATGTGATGTGAACGTCTTTCCTGGGGGGAGGTCTTGAGGGGGATGCTTGCTAAGGGGAAAGTGAGGGTTTGGGCTCCTCACAGCGGCACTTCCACAGACGTTGGTTCAAAAATGCTGCAGATGCAGCACAGCCCCATTTTTCTCTGCTCCTCCAAGCATCCCCTCGCAGCAGAGCAAGCCCAGGGCTCTCCCATCCCATCTCATCCCTTCCCGGTAATGCTGCGTTGGTGCCAGTGCTGGCAATTACAAGCTGCATTGCTCTAGTCTTGTATTCTCTTCCAGGAGGAAAGGCAGCCTGAATTAATAATAATAACAACGCACCTAGTGATGAGTGAATTTACAGCTGCATGTGTGTGTGTCTGACTGCAGTGCGCTGGGCCCAATTATGCAAAGATTTGGGTTGGTTGGTGGGTACTGGGTTGGCTTCTTTTGTCTGGTGAGGATTGCAGGGCTGGTCCCACACTAGCTTGGCATCTTCAGTGCCACCAACAGCTGATAATGGGGTGGGGGGCAGCAAACTGGTTTTGCCTTTGAGCAGCAGGTGGATTAGCAAAATAAGAAGTACCATTCGATTTTCATGCTAGTTTGATTGTTTCTGGGATTTGGGGGGGGAACCTCTACTGAAACTAGTTGTGAGAGTCAGGGTGAACACCGATCAGGTGTGTGATCGGGCAGCCAGTGGATCACTGGGCGTTTTACAGGGCCTGCCCTGCCACGAGCAGGAGCAAGATCAGACCCGCTGTGTTGCTCTGGCCAGTCCCTGCGCAGGGCGCTGGCTGCGCTCCCATCCCGGCATCCTCCCCACTCCAAGCACTCAAGCAAGGAAGAGAGGCAATTTGTGCTGTAAAAGAAAGAAGACAACTATGCTGCGGTGGAGCGTGCCAGAGCTTTGTTGTATAAACTTCAATCAGTCTGTAAAGGTAGCACAGGGTGCCCCCAGGCACACACACCACACACACACACACGCCTCCGAGTTTAAGGAGCCAAATTGGTGCAGGATCGCTCCCAAGGGCAGAGCGAAGGCGCAAGGCTGTGCAAGGCACAGTAGGTAGAAGGTGCTCAGCCATTCAGAGGAGGAGTATGACAATGTACGACACCTAATTCGGGTCCCAAACTTCTAAATGCAGCCAGCTCGCCGCAGGAAGCTGGCGTTGCGATTTCAGTGATTTGTGGAATTCAAACAAATGTCCTCGGGTCAAGACTTTTGTGGGGGGAGCTGCATATTCAGACACTTGAGACTTTACAGCTTATCTTTCCCTCCACCACAAGTTTTCCTCTAAAATCCAAGAGACAATGCAGGAAAAAGAAAAAAAGAAAGACTTCAAAATAAAGCGTTTCCTAGGCTGTGTATTTCCATCAGCTTGGAACAAAACAGACTTTGAATTGGGAAGTTGAACATGACTGTGATTGCAGGATGCGGTTTATAAAAGTGATCGATTTGCAGACCAATGCAATGGTTTTTCGATAAGTATTTTGTGTGAAATGTATTAACAGTATTTTCACTTTCCCCCTGTGTTCAAGTTTCTAATAAAAGTGTTTTTCAGCCAAAAAAAAAAAATTTAAGTGAACATTAAGAGAATTCCTTTGTATTTTTGAGAAAGATATCCTGACAGGAATTAGAAACCCCGTGATTAAAAAGGGGTGGTGGGGGGGGGAAAGTGAATCCTTACACAGTATAGGCAAGATAGTCAGATAAGTCAGAGGGCAGCTATACCATCCTGTAAGCCTAAATTGCTGAGAGCCGTACTCAAAATCGGGCATTACCGAACCTATCAAAAGCTGCCAAAATGTCTTGTACGCCGCTGAAGTCACAGATGACTAATCTCGGCAAGTAGGCGTTGGGACGCATTCTTGCACAACAAGCAGAAGTGAGGGAGAAAGAGAAGGTAAAAGTAAACCCTGAAGAGATTCTGGAGGGAAACCAGCCTGCATGCAACTGCGAGCACGGTGGTGTTTTCTGTTTGTCACCTGCTCTTTTCCTAACAAGTGTTTGCTGACCTAAAGCCCTTGTAATGCGGTTGAAAGATGTGGGAGGGCTGAGAAACTGTTTTAAATCCCTCAAGTTTTTGGAACACCTCTGCAGGGCTTTAGGGGCTGCTTTTGGGAAAGGAGATAAACTCTTACCTACAGCTGTTGCCAGATACGAATCAGAGGAATAGCCACGGAGTACTGAAGCTGCTTCGTGGGCAGAGGTCGTGCTCCTTGGTGGCTGCAGTTTTGTTGGGTTTTGGACAAACTCAGATGAGTTTTGATAATATTGATTTACAAAGAGCATTGTGATTTAATCCCGCGCTACTGTAAATGGTACCGAAGTCTGCTCTCCTATGACAAACAGACAGCAGACATTCCTCATCACTCGGTTTTAGTTTTATTTCCTCCATGGGGCGCATGTGTGGATGGAGCAGTTGCATTAATGCATCTCTTCTCCTCTGCAGTATTTCAATTACATTTCCTGATATACAGTACATGACTTAATGGATGACGCACTTGTTAAAAGCTAAACCTGGGTCTAAGCCAGACCTCCCTGAAACAAGTTTGGTGGCTTCTACCCTCAGGAAGAAGGTTTTGTAGCCTCTCGGCTGAGTCTTATTTGCTGACATTTAAGACCCATGGGACACTCAGAACCGTTACCTGTTGGAGATGGAACTGGCTGCCTCGGGCTCCCGAGGGGAAGGTGCTGGTACTTGCCACCAAAGGTGTTACGAAGATGCCCGGCCGGTCCTAATCCGTCGTAGCCTTTTGCTGGTTGCATTAGCAGGAGCAGATGAGGGTCATTATAAGGTTTAGTTTGCTTCATACAACTTAAGCCTAATGTGAGTGTAAAAACTGCACAGATCCCAATGAGTTTATGGAGTTAAAGAGGAACTACTGCAGCCTTTATTCCTGCCTTTTGCAGAGAATATGCAACTCCTTTTTTTTTTTTTTAGCTTAATTAATAAAAAAGCTATATGCAATGTCATTTCATGGAAATCACTGACATTTGCATTTTCCAAGTTTATTGCTTTTCTCAGTACACATTGTCCTCCCTTTTGCACGCTGCCTTGTTTGTCATAGGTAAAACAGTCCAGGACATACATTGTATCTCACTAAAAACTGCTTCAATATTTATATTTGAACAGATGGATGTTAAAGCTAATTGTTTTTTTTTTCAAAATAAACAGAAAGCACAGTTGTAAATAGTAGATAGATTCTTCACATGTCCAGCTTTAAAGTGAATATTGCTTAGAGACTTGTGACCTGATCACTTCAGTGCTTTCACTCAGGAGGAGGGATGCCTTCTTTGTAGTAATGATGTCACTTCTGTCAATACACAACTGCGCTCGGAGAACTTGTGCATTCCAGAAAATGCTGACATTAAGAATAAGGAAACTCCCTGCAGGTCCACAGGAGTCATTTTACTTGATTCGTGCAGGTTTGATTCCTTATCCTTTTCCTCCAAGATCTAATACGACGTTTCTCTTTCTCTTGCAGACCATGCCCTCTCTATGACGGTTACTTGTTAAGCTAACTCTGCATGCCAGAAGACTGTCCTTGGTTGATCCAAGGGCTTTTGGGGACTCCAGCCTCTCCCCAGTTTTTCTGTGTGTGTGTGTTCCTCTAGAACTTTCAAAACTGTTTCTCCAAAGGGTTTTGCAGAAACTTAGACTGTTTTCTAAAGCAGAAGCACCTCAGTCCACAGCAGTAGTGATGGGCAGCGTGCGAACCAACCGCTACAGCATTGTGTCTTCGGAAGAGGACGGCATGAAGCTGGCAACCATGGCCGTTGCCAACGGCTTCGGGAATGGAAAGAGTAAGGTACATACCAGACAGCAATGCAGGAGCCGCTTTGTCAAAAAAGATGGCCACTGCAACGTCCAGTTTATTAACGTGGGTGAGAAGGGACAGCGATACCTGGCAGACATCTTCACCACTTGTGTGGACATCCGCTGGAGGTGGATGCTAGTTATCTTCTGCCTGACATTCATCCTCTCCTGGCTTTTTTTTGGCTGTGTGTTTTGGTTGATTGCGCTGTTGCATGGAGATCTGGAGAATCAAGAAAATAACAAACCTTGTGTCTCTCAAGTGAGCAGCTTCACCGCAGCCTTTCTGTTTTCCATTGAGACCCAGACCACGATCGGCTACGGCTTCAGGTGTGTCACAGACGAGTGCCCCATTGCAGTTTTCATGGTGGTTTTCCAGTCTATAGTAGGCTGCATCATTGATGCCTTCATCATTGGTGCTGTCATGGCAAAGATGGCTAAGCCAAAAAAGAGAAATGAAACTCTAGTCTTCAGCCACAATGCCGTAGTGGCCATGAGAGATGGAAAACTGTGCCTGATGTGGCGTGTTGGAAACCTGAGGAAAAGCCACTTGGTGGAGGCACATGTGCGAGCACAGCTCCTCAAATCCAGGATCACATCGGAAGGGGAGTACATCCCCTTGGATCAAATAGACATCAATGTAGGGTTTGACAGCGGGATAGACCGCATATTCCTGGTCTCCCCAATTACGATAGTACATGAAATAGATGAAGACAGTCCTTTGTATGACTTGAACAAACAAGACATGGACAATGCTGACTTTGAAATTGTAGTAATATTAGAGGGCATGGTGGAAGCTACCGCCATGACTACCCAGTGCCGTAGCTCATATCTGGCAAACGAAATCCTCTGGGGCCACCGCTACGAGCCTGTACTCTTTGAAGAGAAAAACTACTACAAAGTGGATTATTCGAGGTTCCACAAAACATACGAAGTGCCCAACACACCCATCTGTAGTGCCAGAGACTTAGCGGAAAAGAAATACATCCTCTCTAATGCAAACTCCTTTTGCTACGAGAACGAAGTGGCCCTCACCAGCAAAGAGGAGGACGAGATTGACACTGGGGTGCCTGAGAGCATGAGCACAGACACCCACCCGGACATGGACCACCACAACCAAGCAGGGGTGCCTCTAGAGCCACGGCCGCTACGGCGGGAGTCGGAAATATGACTGAAAACTCTTCCTCTCTCTTTTGGTTGAAAGGAAAAAAAAAAAATACATCTATCGGTCAAAGGCACGTTGACCTGAGAAGTTGGCCCAGAACAGTTTTCAGACAACGGTACTGTTGAAGAGTGGTGTGAAGGCAAGCAGACCTGAGAAACCCAGGCTGGTTTTAGGGCTGTCCTCAGAGGAGGGACGACAGAAAATGAACTCTAAACACAAAGCACTAAACATGTCTAAGTATGAACAGAAGGCACATATGTTGTAGAATAAATTATGTATATATTTTTTTACAAAACTTGAACTTGCAGGCAAGCTTTGGTTGGGTTATTATTATTTTTTTTCAACTTTTTCCAGAATGCTTCTCTCTAGGGAACAAGAATGTTTTTAATGGCATAACAAAGGCAAGAATCTGCCTTATTATTATTATTATAATTATTTTTTAAAAAGCTGCTGCTAACTACATGAACACAAATGGTTATTTTTGTTGCAGTGTAGTTTTTATTTTCTCTTGTGTAATTTAAAAAAAAAAAAGTCAGTGTTGAACTTTTTGGGTTGAAAAGCTCGTGATCACTTCAGAGAGGCCAATGTTGTCAGAAAGTCTAAACTCCTTTTGAGGCCAGTAGTTTGATAGCTAGAATCAATTTCTCTCTTTCCAATTACATAAGGGGCATTACGTAGTATCAGGCCAATCAGTAGCCTCCAGCAAAATTATGATTTTGGGGGGGGAGAATTTAATTCTCTGTCTAAAGGAAAAATGAAATATATATATATATATACATAGAAAAAGTACTAAGTTAAAACTACCTAAATGGATACCAAAGAAAATGCACAGTTTTGCACAGCGGAGTTTATTAAAAAAAAAAAAAAAGAAAAAAAAAAAAAGGAACAGGCTGCTTTAAACAAAAAAAATTTCAAACCTCAGACACTCTTTTTGGTTTTGATTTTTTTTGTTCTTTTTTTTTTTTCTTTTCTTTTTAGGACCTTTATTTTGCACCTTATTCTAAAAGCTTAAGACTCGGATCTGAAGTGAGCTAGGACTCCTCCCCTTCCCCCCTGCTCTTCTATGGGGAAATAAATTCCCTTCCTTTCTTGTAAGGAGAAACGCAGTTGGGGAAAAGCAAACAAGCAAACATCTGTCCTCCCCGGTCGCTCGCCGAGCCGGGCTGCAGCGGCAGGTCAAGTGTTAGTGCACACATTCCCAAACCGGCGCGAGACCTCAGCGCTCACCCAGCCTCCTGAAAACTGAGCCATCCTCTATGTGCTGCAGGCGTCTGACCCGAGCCCCTTGGCCGCCGATGTGTTACCCGTTAAACTATGCCAGAGACACGCGAAGCTGCTGATCGATGCTAGAGGCTAACGCTGCTGGAGCAGGCGTTTAGGCACAGATGAGCCGAGCGATAGACAAATCCCTGGGAAGAGGTTTTTGAAGAGGAAGGGAGAGGGTAATGGAGAGGAAAAGAGAAAGCAACTTTTGCAACAGAGCTCTTGGGAATGGCACAGGGACTGTAGCATTTGGTAAAACATGCTTCTCTTCAGCAGGGCAAGGGTGTCAGAAAGTGTATTTTCCATCTCATTTGGGGAGGAGGAGGCTGCAAAGCGAGGTCCATCTCCTGCCTCCGCTCCCCAGCAAACACCAACTGAGTGGTCAGTGGATAAGACATTTCACTGAGCCCCGAGCAGATTTTGTGACCTTCTGCGAAGCTCTGGCTCTAGCGGTATTTTGGTTCCTTCACCCAGAAGGCTTTAAATTCTCTGTGCCTCTAAGATCAAGGAGACAGCGAACCTGCGCTTCACGCCTGCTCCCCGAAGAGCAGGTGGAGAGGGGTGGTGGTGGGGACGATAATCCTAGCCAACTCTTGCAGTATTGGATCACTGTATGCCATTAAAAAACAGCTTGTTCTAGGTCTAATGTCTTCTGCAAACAGATATCTGTGAAGGCCTCTGGCCCCTTCCAGCCCTGCCTGAAAGAAATGCCTGCAATGAAATGGTTTCTGATAAGATGGTATCTACAGTGGGTGGGTTCAAAACTGTGGAAATTCGACATTGTAAACATAGATTTGGCTACTAGAGAGGGCAGATGATTAAGTGCAAGTACTAAGGCTGTTACTGGGGTGGGGGGACGTAAAAGAAAGGAAAGGCTGAACATATAAAGGCGATTTGATTGCAGTTTCTGGGTCAACAGTAGTGAAGACAACTGAGTGCTGCTAGTGCTGCTATTGTGATATTCTTGTGAAAGGAAAATAAATAAACCAAAGAGTATTCAGTGAAAGAGAGGGTGCATGAAAACGCAATGGGGAAGGGATGGAAAAGGGAGGCTGAGCAGGAGAAAGGGGACCTTTTCTCCAGGTCAGCATCCCCCAGGTGCACAGTGCTCCCACTAAATGATACTTGAGGTGTTTGAGGGAGGGATGAGAGACGGGGGACGGGGAAATGCAGGATCCAGCTTGTTTCTTTAAAGCAAAAGCAATTCAGAGGGAAAAAAAAATCCCCTCCCCCCCTTAACATTTCTGGTGCAGAGGTTTTGGGTTTTGGGTTTTTTTTTGTTTTGTTTTGTTTTGTTTTGTTTTGTTTTTCAAGTCAGTTTTTCAGAAATATTTTTAAAATGTACATTTTATAAAGTTTATCAAGTATTTTCATATTTAAAGCCAAATGTAAATAGAAGTCTGTAAAGGAGGACAAGGAGAAGAAGAAAAAGGCCACAAAAAGTATAAATTCTGCTCGGCAGTCTTGGCTAGCTAGTACCTAGATGCTACCGGTTAGCATGATTTTTAGCAAATACTTGCAAGCCTTATAGGATTCCTAATGCTATGAACTTCTCTTTATTTATTTTTAAGCATGGACTTTTAATTTGAAAACACGTTCTAGTTATTGGCATTTTTAAAAGTTACCAGCTTTCCGAGTGCTCGTCTTGTCGAGGGTGTGCATTGAGGTAATCCATTACACTCTCTGCTGCATTCTTTTTCTTTTTTTTTTTAATAACCCTTTGTCTTTGCCGATTGAATCTTACATTGCAGAATTGCACTCAGCCTCTGGCTCTGGGAAGCTGCTAGAAGGAGACCTGCAATGTACACTCCATGGTACCCTTCCCCCTTGTCCATGACTTCTGTATTTCTCAAATGCCGTGGTAAGCCCAGTAAGGACAGACTATGGTAGCACACTTCTACAGCAGCAAATTGGGTTAGTCATTTTTAAAAATGTTGTTTTTAAGGACTACACGGTGACTGACAGCGTTTCTTCAGTTCCCGATGATCCTGGGGCAAGCTGATGCTTAATCAGGGGCCCTTTAAACTGACTGAGCTCTACCCGCAGACTCCAGGAGGGGTTGGTTCAGCCTCTTTATCAAGGATAAAGTTGGCTCAGCTGGCTCACACAGAAGGTTTATACTGTATTTCGCTTAGGGTCTGGGGAGGAATATGTTATTTCTGCCCTTCCCTGAAAATACTTGAATGAGACACATTGTCTAAAACGTAGTACCGCGTACAGTGACAAAAAGCATTTCCGAGGCAGGTGGGGATGGATCTCTTCTTTCCTCTGTCTCTTCTGTGCGAGTTGTCCTTGGTTAAGTAGCGAGGGTAGAAATCATTACTTATTAGCTGTGTTTAATGATACTCTCTCCCAGCCATGATAAACTTCTGTGTTGTTAGTTTAGCACTTGCTCTTCTCGGAAAAGACAAAGGGTCCAGATGTTTTATTTGTTCTCTTAGGTCTTCTTTTTCATAATGGATTACAAGGTAAAACTGAGAAGTACTGTAATGTCTTTAAATTATGGCTGCTCACGACCATTGTAAAGTAGAAGGGTGCTGCATAGTTGCCAGCCCACAGCCAACAAGAAACTGATTTTGTAATGACTTTTGGCCTGCAGCTATTGTAAGGTGAACAATCTAGGCATCTGACAGTTGTCCATTACTATTTTCCTGTTTGCAGCCTTTTTGTATCAAAGTCTTCCTAATGTACTGCACAAATTGTGGATTGTACAGATTTTTATATATTATGTCTTATTTTATTATTTCTAAATAAATAAAAAAAAATTGAGAATGAACCGGTGTGTGCAGCATGTGTGTAAATGAACTGGGGAGATGGGTCTGGAGGTTATTATATAGCTGTGTTTATGGCTGTCTGGGCACAGTCATTGTCTGAAGCACTTTAGGAAGAGACAGGTCGTTCTCTCCCTTGACAAAAGGCAGGAGGAGGAAAGGTGATACCGTCATTATTTCCCAGATGAGAACACAAACACGGTGCCGTGTAAGGCAGCTTGCACCAAAGGAAGATCTGCCCCAGAGAGACTGAGGGACTTCCTTAAGGTCATACCCGGAACCGCAGAGCTCCAGATCATTAGCTACAAGTTGTATGAGATGGAAAAATAGCTCAAAGTCTGCATAAACTACAAGGGGGGGGGGGGGGATGAAAACAGCCTAAGCAAGCGCATTGAAAGATTTGGAAAGGGATTAAAAAATTAAGCAGGAAACTCATCTTCAAATCCCTGTGTTTCATGTCTGCCTGGAACATCCCCTTATTGAAATGATGGTCCTCGGCTCAGCTCAATTCCAAACACGCTCGCTGTAATCTTCATACATGCCTCATTTGTCTGGGGTCCCGAGCCTGATGTCACAAGCCTGGAGCTGGGTTTTTGTGTAACGGGACGGGGAAACGTCACGGGAACAGGCCTCAAGTAACCGAAAAGAGACTCAATGCCCTTATTTGTCTGGGTTGGAAAGCTCCTTTCCCGCTGTTTGTGTGTGGCCTCCAGGGCAGATATTGAGGCTGCACAACTGTGACTCAGCTCAAAACTGCTGATCTAACCGGAATCAAACACGCTGCAAGGGCTGAGGATGGCTGTGAAGCGTTTCAACACAGTTTTGACCCCTCTGCAGATTTTTCAAACTTTTTATCAGTCTGTAATGCTATTAAATGATGCCTCAGATGGGGCCCTGACCCTGTCTAGAAGGACTCAATTTATAAATTCAAATTTACTTTTCAAATCTAATGGTCTCTTGGAAAGCTTATAATAATAATTACAGGGCTGGATTTAGAGATACAGATTAGCTGTCACAGCCTGGGTCTGCTTATCCTCCCTACTGAAAAGCATCTTCTGTGAGAGCCACTCACTGATTTGACCCTGACTTTGACGTTTGCTGCAGGGGCAGCCGGTCGGGGGGCCACTATCTGCATATTCTGCCTGGCTCGCTCCCGTTGCCTAAATCGTTAGCACCCTCTCCTGTCAGTGCCTTTCCCTTCTCCTGCTGGCCACTTGTCTGGTCAGGTGGAGTCAGCGTAAATATAGCAACAAAACACAGACGGCGTATTTTGGTAGCTGGCAAGGTAATAGCTAAGCTCTTCTCCCTCCCATACTAGCTAGATGCATCTAGCAAGCATCAAGCATGCACTGCAGGACACAAGCATATGCCACCTGAATCTAGACGGCATGAGTAAAATGCCACAGAAGACATAACGGCGCGGGTGCTGGCATGCCAGCAACAGCAGGATACAGGCAACGCTGCCTGCTGCTCGCTGGGTGCATGTGCCCTCAGCAGACAGCACAGGAAGGTGCATTAGAGAAAGCTGCACGAACCAGCTGTTTCCCGTTTCCCCAGTTTTCTCGTCAAACTAGCGGTGCTTGCTGATTCTTTTGACATGCCAAGCTCATGCTGAAGACTACAGACTTCGTAGGTGTGCAAAAATGTATAATAATATTTAAAGAAATGGCCGTTCTTTCAAGATGTTTAAGTTACACTTGTGACTTCAGGGGAGCCTGTTTCATGGTTCTGGATTCTTGGCAGGCGGAGATTGCCATGCGGTGAAGGTTTTGGATGAGACTTGCACTCCAGGATTCAACACCTACCTTGTCTGGATTAGCTCTTTTGTCCCCGTGTGACGGGCCTGTCAGC